ATTCCTCTCCCTTCTTCTCTGTAAAAAATCAATAAAAATATATTTTAAAAAAATAAAAATAACCGGCTTGAAATAATCAGCATCTCCAAAGGCATGCCTTTCAGTGTAAACTTCGGCCCCTCCCAGGTGATGCTGGTTCTGACGGTTTGGGACCCGCACCTGGGGAGCCTGTGCTCTAAGACCTTTCGTGACTCCCTGGGTCTTTGGGGAAACCTCCAAAGTTGGTTTTCAGAACCCTGCCTGTTGGCCTTCCTATCTAGCTCTTCTCTTTTTCTCCCTATAGGTGTATGTAGCCCACAGCCTAGTTACATAGAGCAGCTTGAATTCCTGGATGAGGCATGCTCTTTCTCCAGACTGCACATGCTGTAGCACCTTCTGGACACTTTTCTCCACTTTGTCGGTGACTGAACACTTTCCATCCCTGGGGCAAGTCTCTATCTCTCCCCTGACCACACCGGAGCATGACCATCTGGGAATCGGTCTTTGTTTCCCACAAAATCACAGACTTCAAGGTGTCAGGGCCTAGGGCTTTCTGTCACTGTTGTTCCCAATTATGTCCAACACAGAACATGAGTGCTATGTAAATAATCAGTTGATGTATGTGTAGGCTCCTGCCCCTAGTCCACCCACAGGCCAGGGGAGACTTCACCTGAGAGAGGAAACTCAGCAGCTGTGTACCTGAGCCCTTCTAGATTCCCGAGCAGAATCGGAGAGACTAGAGTCTTCTCATGGTACCTCAGCTCAGATATACAGCCCCATGGGGGGAGAGGGGGTCTCTGTGAGACCTTGATACAAAGGTACACCCTGCAACATCCTTTATGCCAGAAACTGCCAACCACCACGTGTCCATTAAGGAGACCTTGGAATAATTTATAGGATGTGTATCCTAGAGGAGGCACTGCAGAAATTAGAAAGGAATTAAGACCTGCTTGGGTGTCTCTGGGATGACTGGGTTGGTGAAAGAAAGAAATCAAGGTGCAGAAATGAGAATATTAGAAAAAGTGTATAAAATTTTATATAACATATAAAAAAGCAAAGTGCAGAAATTATGATTAGCTAACATTTTAATGAATACCAGATGCTGTTCTAAAAGTTTTACGGATATTAAATTGCTTAATTCTCTAACAAGCCCATGAGGTAGGTGCCATTATCCTCCCATTTTACAGATTGGCAAACTCAGGCACAGGGAGGCAAAATCACCTGCCCTGATTGGGAGTGGTAGAGTTCTGATTTCTATGCAGGGACTCTGCCTCCAGAATCTGTAATGGTAAACAATCACCTTGCCACACTAGGTACCATTTGTGTAGAGTCAAAGACACTGGCACACATGTATATTCCTGGTATTTGTCTGAGAAATCAGTCAACACAGCCTGAGTGCTGGAGACTTTCCACCATACACTCTTTTGCACCTTTTGAATTTTTAGCATGCACCTTTAAAAAAAAATTTTTTTTTATTGATTTCAGGGAGGAAGGGAGAGGGGGAATAGAGATAGAAATATCAATGAAGAGTATCATTGACCTGCTGCCTCCTGCATGCCCCCTACTGGGGTCGAGCCTGCAACCTGGGCATGTGCCCTTGACTGGAATTGAATCCAGGACCCTTCAGTCCACATGCCGAAGCTCTACCCACTGAGCCAAACCAGCTAAGGCGGCATGCACCATTTTTAAAAAAATATATTTTATTGATTTTTTACAGAGAGGAAGGGAGAGAGATAGAGACCTAGAAACGTCAATGAGAGAAACATCGACTGGCTGCCTCTTGCACACCCCCTACAGGGGGGGTGTGCCCGCAACCAACGTACATGCCCCTGACAGGAATCGAACCTGGGACCTTTCAGTCCGCAGACCGACGCTCTACCACTGAGCCAAACCGGTTTCAACGGCATGCACCATTTTTTAAAATGTCTTCAACTGAATAGGGTCTGGTTTCTTTTTTGAGAAGGGGAGAAACAACTGCCTCCCCAGCCAGCTGCTGATTAGCACGGTGAGGAGACAGAAGACTGGGAGGCTGAGAAAGAGCTCGACAGCAGGTGTTTCTGAACTCTCATGGGACAAGGTGACAAATCAAAACCTTGCTCAAACCCATTTTGCACTTCCTGTGTGACCTTGGACAAATTATTTGACCTCTCTGGGCTTCTTTTCCTCAACTATAAAATGTAGTGAGAATGTACCTAATAGTTGATAAGAGGAGTAAATAAATTATTTTTAAAAATAAGAGGAGTAAATAAATCAAGGGCTTGAAGCAGTGCCTAGCTCATAGTAAATCCTATATGTATTTTCTATTACTATTATTAAAACAATCTTGTGTGCCTTTTTAGCATGATTTGACAATGTTGACTTCTTCCTTCCTAAAATACTCTCATTCTCTTACCAATACTCCCACCCACCTGGTTTTCCTACTCCTCTCTGGATCTCTTTTCCTGTCTTCTTTGTAAGCTCTTCTCTCGAATAAGGATATTGGTTGAAGCGACACTGCTCATCATAGGGGCCTTTACTTAGAAGAAGAAGCCTCCTTTTGGCATATTTAGCCTTGAACTTCAGACCCTATTTGTGTCTACCCGGCCAGCCAGGCTTCCCTTATGTAGGTCCCAACCTGTAGAATTGTACATGATGGCCTGGGCTGATTTGTTAATTAATATCCATCCATCCTCCCACTCTTCTGCCTTTCCAATAGAAGCCCAATATCATTCAAGTATTCACCAGCCTCCAGGCTGAAACCTTACCCCCGGACTCAGTTCTGGGGAACAGGAGGCATCCTGAAGAATCTAAACTAATCCTGAATTCCTCAGGCCAATGATTGGCTCAGGATGGGCACGTGAGGCAATTCTGGCCAATGATATTAAAGAGGAAGTCTGCTGGGAGGCTTCAGGAAAAGATTTTCTTGCTTCCAGAAACAGCATGGAAAAAGATGTCCCTCTCTTCTTGTACTAAAAATGATCACATCTGGTTGTGATGCCTGAACCTGCAGCAGCCACTTTGGGGCGATCAGGGGAGTCCATGTGGGAGCCAAACATTCAGCTGAGGGTGGCAGAGCAGAGAGGGAACCTGGGGTCCAAGACCCTCCTGGTGCTGTCACTGCATCATGCCTAAAGCTCTCCCCAACTCTGGTGATGTGCACTATACACTCATCTCATTGTTTCACCTCGTGCCAGTCTGGGTTTTGTTACCCGCTGCCCAAATCTTACTTTGCTGATATAAAATATAAATATCCTTAGGCTGATTTCTCAAGACTGGTCTTCTCTTCACTCCTACCTCATGGATTGGTTCCTGCATCTGTCTCCAGCATCAACCACTTTGAGCCCCGGCCCCAGGGGCTCTGTGGCCTCCTGATATCCTCCCTTGGGTGTCTTTGGCCCTCACACTCACCATGTTCCAAACTAGCCTCAGCATCTTCCCTCAAACCCGCTCTTTCTCCAAGGCCCCCATCTCAAGTGCAGCTGATCATCCCTTGCACCTTTCCATGGCCTTGTTCCGCACCCCAAGTCTATAAGGCCTATGGCCTGTCCACTTGGCCTTCTGAGCATCCCTCCACCTGGACCCCCTCCCTTCCCCGGGCACCCAGTCTTTGTCTCCCCCTCTCATCTACATCCACAGAAAAGCTGGGGATTTCTGACCCTGTTCTGGTAGAACCCTGACATGATTCTCTAGTGTCCTCAAGAAAGAAGCTGCTTCCCAAGCTGATCATTTAAAAACACTTGAGTGGGGCCATGTCAGCCACGCCACTATTCTTCCCCCATTCACTCCACACTCGTCCCAGAAGCTGATGTCTAACATGCTCTCCTACCTCCAGGCCTTTGCATACATGGTTCCTTCTGTCTGGAATGCCCTTCCCATTTGTCTACTATCAAGGCCTGGCTCAGATCCCATTCCTTGTCAGCTTCATAGGGCTTGGAAGAGGTAACAGCTCAGTGGAAGGCCTTTGGCAGTGAGTGCTATTGTTGATGTTTCATTTTGGCGGGGGTGGGGGTGAGGGAATAAAACCGATTACTTCCTTGTGTCTAAAACAAGAAACCTCCCCTCCCATGCCTGTTTCCTCATCTCTGGAGAGAGGATAATATTTTCTCATGTAAATTACCCAGAACAGGGCCTAGCCAAAGCATCACAGAATAACATGGTAGGCTCTATGAAGTCATCTTGTGAAGCACTATTATTATTACTGCCATTTTGCAGATGAGGGACCTGAGACGCACAGGGGAAGTGACTGCCGGAGGAGATGGGCAGTATGCAGTGGAGTTGGGATTGAGCCCAAGCAGGCTTGCTCCAAAGCTCACAGAATATGCACTTAGTGCTCCACAGTGGGGACAGCTGTTACAGCAGTGCTGTGGCTAAGAACACTAAGTGCCTTCTGTGGCATTCGGATCCTGTTTCCTGCTGAGGAAGACTCTAGGAACCAGGCCTTCCCCAGGGCTCTCTGCATGGGTCTTGTTCCCTGGAGACACATGAGGAAAATCAGTTACACCTTCTTCTCTTGACTACTCGTATTTCAGGGATGAGCTCAGTTGTCCCTTCCTCCAGGAAGTTCTCTCTGACCTTCCAAGTTGTATTGGGTGCATTCTATGTTTTCTCTATCACAACGCTGACTACTCTGCCTCTGCTATTAAAGTCCTGTCAGTTCTGGGCTCACTGTGTGGGGACGTCTGTCTGTTACTAGACTGTGAGCCCCAGGAGAGCAGGGCCCAGCTACATCACTAACAATACCCAACAGAGAAGAGTTTGGGATGAATTAATATACAGGGTGGGGCAAAAGTAGGTTTATAGTTGTGAGTACACAAAACAGTTTATTCTTGTTTGTATTATTTTCCATATGAACAACTGTAAACCTGCTTTTGCACCAACCCCACCTCTGTGTTCTTTCCACGATAAGGAAATGAAGGCTCAGAAAGGACTGTCACTTTCCCAAAGTGTAGTGACTGATCTAGTGCCTGAAATGAGAGCCCAGAGCCTGGTAGAACTGTAGATGGTGAGTTGTTGAGAGAAGCAGATGGAGTAAAAATGTAAGAAAAAAAGAGATGTTGAGAGGGAAAGATAGAGGCGATGAGAAAGCCGAAGAGGCACCGAATGTGGGGGGAGATCAGGGAAGGAGCCAAAACAAAGCAATGCAGGTGCTTGGGGAGCCCAGGACAGGTACGACAAAGGATGGACAGCTGTGGCAGTGCTCTCAGGAGCACTGGCATGTGCCCACAATGGCCTAGTATGTCAGCTCCAGTCACATGGTCCCTCAGCCGCAGGCTAGGTCCATCCAGCTTCAAGGGTGCCCCAGCTACCTGGGGATGGAGGCGTAGTTGGCGTGGGAGCTGGTGGCGAGTTGCTGGTGAGGTTCTGACTGGGAACCCAGAATGTCCACCCGATCATCCTCATCCTCATGGAAGCCGGCAGGGAGACGACTGGGCAGCAGGATGAGCTCTGTGAGGCCATGAAGGTCAGACACATGCCGGACAGTCTGCAGCACTAAAACCATGGCGATCAGACCCAGGAAGAGGTAGGCTGCAAAGACGGCAGAGGGGCCATGGGTGAACTCAGAACCTAGGCAGGCCCCAGGAGCTACTGGACCCCAAGGGTGGGGCTGTGACCCTCAACTCCCCCCTCGGACAGTCCAGGCTCCCCTCATACCCTCTGCAACAAGGCTGTGCCCTGGGTCCTGAGCCAGCCACCCCACTCACCTGTGACCAGCACCTTGTAGAGGGCCCGGTAGGGCTGGCCGGGGGCTTCACCGGGCACATAGTCACCCAGGCCAATGGTGGACAAAGAGATGAAGCAGAAGTAGAAGGCATCCAAGAAGCTCCAGGTCTCCTCTAGGTGGGCAAAGATTGCGGCGGGCACCAGGAAGCAGGTGGTCACCAGGATTCCCAGCAGAACCACCAGGTGCCAGCGGGCCACCCGCCGGGAGTCCCAGCCCCAGCGCATGCTCAGCCAGGACAAGGGTGCATGGGTCAGCAGCAGTGACAGGCGCTGGGCTGAGGCAGTCAGTAGCAACATGGTGACCGGCACGCCCAGGAGTGCAAAGACAATGGAGAAGGCCTTGCCCGCATCAGTCAGTGGTGTCGTGTACCCATAGCCTGTGGAAGTAACGGGGAAATCCTTCTGCCCACTTGGCACCTACTTGGGATCTGTGGCCATCCTAAGCCAAGACCTCATATTACCCTTGAACTTGCCCCCCACTCTTTAATTTCTGGTCATCCTTGACTTCCTTATCACTCACACCCACTTTCTGTCAGTGAATCCCATTGCCTCAAATTTCAAATAAATCCCAAGTCCATCTACTTCACCCCACTCCACCTCCATGTCTACTCTGTAGTCTCCTCCCAGGCCTCCCACCTCCACTTCCACCTTTGCCCCACAGTCTGAACCCCACACACAGCCAGAGGGGCACTGTGAATACCAGTGTTAAGTCATGTCCCTCCCCTGCTCAGAGTCTCCCAGTGGCTCCATCCCACTCAGGAGGAAGGGCAGCATCCTCATCATGACCCTGAGGCCCCACACAAACCAGCGGGGAAATGCACTCCCACCTCAGGGCCTTTGCACTGTCTGCTCTTTCCCTGTGGAACACCCTTCTTTCCAGTTTCCACAGGGCTCCCTTCCTCTCCAGGTCTTTGTTCAAACATCACCCTCTCAGCCAGGCCTTCCCTGACCACCTTTATTGTGTTATTGTAATCCTCACCTGAGGATATTTTCCCATTGATTTATTTAGAGAGAGTGGAAGGGAGAGCCATCTATGTGAAAGAGACTCATCCATTAGTTGCCTCCTGAATGTGCCCCTATGGGGGCTGGTGGAGTCTGCAACAAGGTATGTGCCTTCAATCTGTGGGCCGATGCTCTATCCACTGAGTCAAACCAACTAGGTCTGACCACCTTATTTTAAATTGTTACACTTTCTCACCCAACTTTTTTGGTTTGTTTTCATAGCACTTTACACTGTCTAGCAAACTACATGATTTACTTATTTGGCTACTCTGTCTCCCCCTTTCGGGTGCCATCTCAGGAGGGCAGGGGCTTCTGTTTGCTTTGTTCAGTGCCATAGTCCTGGTTCTGGCACAGAGTGGGCACTCAGTCAATAGTTGAAATAATAATTAAAGGGTGCAGGCTCCAGTCTGGCTCCCTCTACTCTAAAATGGGTGTGACAGGCCCAGTGACCTCCTGGAGGGCCGTGAGAAACAGGACCACAGGACTGTGGATATGAGTTCAGCAAACAGAAACATGATACAGGGGAATTCAGATGTAGGTGAGACTGGCTCACTGTGGCAATGTATAATTTAAAATATCATTATTTCCCAAATAAAGCAAACCAAAAGGTCAGAGATATGACGGGGGTGGTAAGAGGCCTGGTTAATGTTGAAGTAAAATGATTTTAGCCCAAAAGACTGCAGATCCAGTTCCTGTGATAAAAAATATCATGTGGACTTGTGTAGATGAACACATCTCCCATACAAAGGGATCTGATTTTTATATGCTCAAAAAACTGAGAGCAAGGGATGGAAGAGATTCTTATACACTCATGTTCATAGCAGCATTCGTCACAGCTGAATGTCTATAGATGGATGAATGGGTAAACAAAATGTACATATATACAATAGGGTTATGATTAATAACCCTAACCCTAACCCTAATATTATCCAGCCTTATGAAGGAAGGAAACTCTGACACATGCTACAATACAACATGGATAAACCTTGAGGATATTATGCTAAATGAAAAAAGCTAGTCGAAGAAAGACAAATACTGTATGATTCCACTTATATGAAGTATTTAGATTAGTCAAAATCCTAGACACAGTAGAACCGTGGTTGCAGGAGCTGGGGAGAGGGCACATGGGGAGTTGGTGTTTAAGGGTAGAGTTTCAGTTTTGCAAGATGAAAATTGTCTGGAGATGAATGGTGGTAACGATTGCACAACAAAGTAAATGTACCTAATATCCCTGAAGTGTACACTTAAAATGGTAAAGATGGTAACTTTTATGTGTATTTTACCATAATAAAAAATTGGGAAAAAATAAAAGACTCTCTGGCTTCCACTGCACAGGTGGCCATGTGTAATGAAGACATTCCCTCTTTAATGGGGTTTCTCCATTAAAACCTTTGAATTAATGAGGATTGGAGCCATAAATGAAAAAATCTCAAATAGTTGCATAAATAAGATGCAGCTAGGTGTAACTGGAATAATATCTGACCAATAAGTCATACAAGAAAGAAGCAAACAAGTTCCAAGAAGTGTCCTTAAGGAGAGGGAGGTGCCACCCTAGCAAGTTGCTCAGTGGTTAGAGTGTCGGTCGTGGACTGAAGGATTTCGGGCTTGATTCTGGTCAAGGGTGAATGTGTGGGCAATTGGTCAATTGGTCAATGTTTCTTTCTGTCTGGCTCCTTCCCTCCCTCCTCCAGGGTGAGGATTAACAACAACAAAAGAAAGCACACACACACACACACACACACACACACACACACACACACGAGAGGGAGATGCCTTCTTTCTCCTTCCTTCCTGCTGGCTGGAACACTGACAGAAAAGCAGGAGCCGAGCAGCCACTTGGACCATGACGTGACCTTAGGATGGAGAATTATGGAGGAGTTCTGACCATGCAGCATCATTCCAGAAATAAATTTTCATTTTATTTACACAACTATTATTTGAGGTTTCTCATTTATGGCTCCAAACCTCATTAATACAAAGGTTTTAATGGAGAAACCTCAGCAGTCAGCTAAAATGACAGATTTGCAAATAGCCTAAATGAGTCTTAACTTGCTACCTCAAAGAGCAAAGTTCAAATCAGTTTTTTGCCATTTATTCCCTACATGACCTTGGCCAAGTGACTTTCCTCAGAGTCCTGCAAAAATGGGCTTATAAAAAATGTCTTCCACCTTGCCAGGGTAGATTGCATAGCATCTAGCAAGACATAAAAAGAATTACGGGCATGCTAGCTTCCAGGCTGCTGACCCCTCCATCCCGGCCTCAACTGGAGCAAGGCTGCCTGGATCAATTCCAGGCCCCAGGCCTTTCTCAGAGGGCTTGGGCCTGACAAGATCAGAGGTACTGTGGAAGAAGTCTCTCTGAAAGACGTTTGGATTTCATTTCTCAGACACATTCAGAGCTCCAGGCTTTCCCACCAATAACCAAGGCACCGAAAACCTGTTATTATCCCCTGCCCTTCAAACTGACAGACTTCCTCCTGATCAAACTTACTTAGGCTCCTCTCCACAGGCCATTTTAGCAAGAACCCTGTCAGTTTAGGGAGAATTCCTCCTTTTGATATCTGATCACATTCCTTATTCTCCACCTTTGAGAGCTGAGGTCTTGGCCTTTTGCAGCAATCCCATTAAGCCAGTAAACGAGAATCCCGTCTCTTAATATACTTTCCTGTCCACTGATGCCCTCACTCTGCAGCTGTCTTTGTTATATTCAGAATTGAGTTCAGTCTCTCTCCCTTATTGCAACAACTTACCATTTTTAACAAGTGTCTGAGTAATTTTTCATTTCAGTATACACATATCACTCCTCTTCATGCAGGCTTAAGGGGTAGTGCAGTGTATTGGTTAAGAGCATGGGGCTCTGAGGCCTGATTGCCTTGGTTCAAATTTCTACTCTACACCTTCCTAGTTGTGTGACCTCAGACAAGTTGTCCAACTTCTCTGGGCCTCAGTTTCTATTGCTAAAAAAATAGGGCCAGGCCCTAACTGGTTTGGCTCAGTGGATAGAGCATCGGCCTGTGGACTCAAGGGTTCCAGGTTCAATTCTGGTCAAGGGCATGTACCTTGGTTTCAGCCACATCTCCAGTGGGAGGTGTGCAGGAGGCAGCTGATCGATGTTTCTCTCTCATCGATGTTTCCAAGTCTCTATCCCTCTCCTTTTTGCTCCACAAAAAAAATCAATAAAATATATATATATTTAAAAATAGGACCCATGTGGCTCAGTAGTTAAGGGGCTACTCATAAACCAGGAGGTCAGGGTTTAATTCCAGTTGGGGCAGGTGCGTGGGTTGCAGGCTCGGCCCCCCACCAAGGGACTGTGTGGGAAATGGCCAGTTGGTGATTCTCTCTCATCATTGATGTCTTTCTCTCTCCCACTCTCTTCCTCTCTCTGCAATCAATAAAAATACAGTGTATTTATTTTTAAAAATAGGACCACTAATGGTACCTGCTTTACAAGGCTGTTGTGCTGATTGAGTTAAAGCCCATACGTGGCAACTCCTCTATTAGGTTTTGTTATTACTGTGGAGTGGGGAGTGCTATTATTCCCATTTTACAGATGTGGGAGGACACTGAGACCTAGAGCTGAGCAGTGGGCTGAGCAGAAATCCAAACCCAGGCTGTGCATGCCTTGAATTTGGCTTCTTCATCTGTCCTTCTTGGGACAACTTCTCAGAAACCAGGATCTGGGAGGAGGTTGATGGAGACACTCATGTGACCCAGTGAAGCCCAGGAGCAGGTCAGGCAGGCCCAGCCAGTGGAACAGAGTGTAAGAGGAGCATCCAACCCTGCTGACCATGGACTTGGTTTGCTGGTCCACACGATGGGGCACCAAAGGCAAAGGCCACCTGCTACTGCAGGCAGGGAGGAGTTAGGAGTCTGCTAGGCCTTCCCCAGGCCCCCCTTCCCCCAAGCAAAATTCCAAGAAAAGAGGAAGATGGAGCTTTGGGGAGGGGGTGTGAAAGGATCAGCAGAGCCTTGACAACAGGGATTTCCCAGGTCTGCAAGTGCTGAGGTGGGAGGGATGTCCAGGGTAGGGCTAAGGGGAGAGGGTTAGTCTGACCTGAGGAGGTTGGTTTCTGGTTTGAAATGGATCCTGGGCCAGAGGAAAGGTTGCAGGCCCCAGTGGGGGCATTTTCTGGATTACAAATGGGACTGGAAGGGGATTATGAGCCCGAGGACACCTGAGAGGACATGATGAAGGCAGACAATGTTAAGGGGATGATAGATCAGGGTGGGTCTCTCCAGTCCAAGGGTAGAAAGTGGTAATCGTTTTGACTAGACATGACTAGACATGGGGAGGGGTCTGGACTCCAGGGGGCCTGGTGCATCCTTGTTGGAGCGGAGAATTTCAGGTCCAAAGCAGGCTGTGGCATTGTCAGAGTAAACAGGGAGTTCCCAGCTATGGGTCTAGAGATTGGAGTGTTCCCAAGAGCCTAGGAGATTCCCTTTCTTGGGAAATCCAGGTTGAACAGGGGTAGCAGGTGCAGAGAGCAGAATTTCTGGGCTGGTATCGTGTGTGTGTGTGTGTGTGTGTGTGTGTGTGTGTGTGTGTGTGTGTGTGGTGGGGATTCTGCTGTCAATGACAGGGTGTGTGGAGGGCACTGGGGTCCCTGATAAAAGGTCTAAGTGGTTATGGGGCTTTTGCTGAGAGTGTCAAGGGTCTAGAGCACATGTGTCAAACACAAGGCCCGCGGGCCAAATCCGTCCCGCCAGGCCTTGCAATGTGGCCCGCACCGCGCTGTCATCACTGCACTCCGCTGCGTTTCCATCACAATGACAGTTTATGACTGTTCAGTAAACCATTCCGCCCGCGATTTAGGCTGGATTTTAGATTTTGGCCCCTTCTCTGATTGAGTTCGACACCCCTAGTCTAGAGAGTGATGAGTCTCAACTAGGGGTTCTCCCTATGGGGAGACCCTGGTTTGGAAAGCAGTAGGGGTTTCGCTGGAGACAGTTTTGAGATTGGAGGGAAGGAAGTCCTGGTCGGGGGGGCTTCTGGGGATAATCTAGCTCCCTCCCACGGTGGTTCCCTCTCATGGATCCATAGCTAGGGGCTGCTAAAATGGAACTCGAGGTCCAGAGAAAACCAGTATCTCTCTTGGGAGAAAACTGCATTGAGGGCTCCCCAATAGAAGGGAGATGTCAAGATGGAGTGGAATGTGGAGGAGTCAGAGCTTACCTGCTGGGAAGTGTGCGTGTGAGGGAGGACAGGGCCAGAGGAGGGGCCCTCTCAGAGGGAGGCCCCAGTCCTGGCTGAGGGCGCTCTACTGGCAGTAAGGTCTTTTGTGATGGCACTCTGAGGGATCTGGAGATTCAGGGTTCTCTCTGGGCACCAGAGTCAGGAGAAGATGGGACAGGGCTTCCCAAAAGGCTCCAGGAAAGATCTGTCTGGTCAGCCAGGAGACACTGCTTGAGGGGAGGGCATTCTGATACCAGAGAGAAGGGCAAAAGTCTTTGGAGTCCAGAGAGGGTGAGGGTCTCAAGCCCAGGGTCCCAGGACCTCTCTGGAGGTTTCTGAGTGTAGTCCTAGGCCCAGAGGGGCGGGGAAGGGCCAGGTCTCCAAGGGGTAAGGCAGAGGAACAATGTCCCAGACGCTCCCTGGCAGGAACTGAGTCCAGCCCTCATCCTGGAAAACTGGGTGTTTTCCTCTGGGAGAGGCTTGGATGGGGTCTTCCCGAGGGAGGCAGATCCAACGACTGTGGACCCCGAGTTCTCTTCGAGGGGTTGGAGGGGATCCTAGGCCCAGAACGGACTGGAGTGATCCACTGGGACAAGGTTATCTCCTGAGCTCCGGAGTGCCCCTGGGTGGGTTCTCGCTGGCTTGGGGATTGGGGCGGCGCTCACCTACCCACGGTGGTGACCAGTGTGCTGGCAAAGAAGAGAGCAGAGGCAAAGTCCCAGGCCGGGTCCGAGGCGTTGGCAGGCCCCGAAGCGTTGGCCAGCGCTGCGCGCCCCAGCCGGCCGGCCGCCAGCACTCGCTCCACGAAGGCGTCCAGCGCGGGGGCGGCCAGGCACGGGCTGCGCCGCAGCAGCTGCTCCCGCAGCACCTCCAGCTCCGCGCGGAGCGCAGCCTCGTGGGGCCCCTCCAGCCGCGCCACCAGCAGCGCGCCCAGCCCCAGGTACGCGGCGTAGGCGGCCAGGGCGCCCGCCAGGAGCGCGCCCCGCTGCATGGCACCTCCCGCTCCCTCCGAGCCCCGCCGCCCGCCGCCCGCCGCCCGCCGCCCGCCGCCCGGCTCCCCCAGAGCCCCGCCGCCCCGCTGACGTGGCCCCCGGCTCCTGATGGCCGAGCTCCAGCTTTAGTTCCGGGAGCTCGAAGCACGGCCTCCAGCTCCCCAAAGAGGAACCGGAGGAGAAGGGTGGGGCAGGAGAGGGAGGAGAAGCGCCCCGCCTCCGGGAAACTGAGGCACGCCCACCGCCAGGTGTTAACACCGGCTGGGCGGTGCTCAGCACTCCGGGACGGAGAAAGGGGGCCTTCTGCCCTTCCTTCGTTCCTTCCCTCTCTGCGTCCCAGGCGTCTTGATTCCTTCAGTCAGAAAGACTCCGAACTCTCTTTTCTGCTCAAGGACCGAGAAGTCGCGCCCCATCTCCTCCGGGCCATCTTGCTGGGCTACAAAGATTGTGCTTTTCATCAGGGTGTATGGCTGAGGGCACAAGGTTATAAACTGGCATCCAGCCCTCGTTCCATTAGCCACGTCGTGCGCTCTGGAGTGGGGTTCGTCCGCTGGTGGGGAAGCCTGTCTAAGTCACAAGGAAGGACACCTCAGGGGCAGGCGTCCCCGTGCCCTCACAGACAGAACCGGGGTGCTTAGCTCTTCACCAAACCTTTGCCCAGTGCCCACTCTGTGCCCGGCCCTTTGCTGAGTGATCCTGGGAAACAGCAGTAGCCAAGACAGTTCTGGAACCTGCCTTCAGGGGGCTCCCAGCACTTCCACAGAGTGCCAGCCCAGAAAGAAGCTCGGGCAGAGTGGCCAAGGCTGGGATGGAGGATGCCCAAAGGCCTGTGTGGCCCAGAGGAGGCGACTACCGCAGCTTTTGAAAAATCAAGAGCTTCTGGAGGAAAAACATATCTGAAGTGAGAGAAAGGATGAACAGGAAAGAGCCAGGGTCTCTTTTCCAAGCAGAATCACAGATCCACACCTTCACTGAAGGGAGATCTTTGTTTCCCTGCTCCCTCTGTACATTTCTCCACACCCCCCTCTCTGACGGCCTTCGAGAGGGCAGCCCCAGATCCTGACCACAGCTGACTGGCCGAGGATGGGGCTCAGGAACCAGTTCAGACACACCCAGATGGTTCTATTAATAAAACTGTGGCAGCTCTTGGGAAAGAACCCAATTAGGGCTTGGAACAACAGCAACAGTAGGGGCCAGTGATCAAAGGCTTCAGTATGTCAGGCCCTGTGGACACATAAGCTTGTATCTCAACCCTCCTCTATTATTCATTAAACAGATGAGAGAAATTTTAGGCTTAACAATTGAGTAGTCACAAAACTGGTAAGGTGTGACCATGTGAACATAAGGTAACACAAAGCTAAAATACTTGCTTACTAATAAAAGTATTCAGAGGATGAGAAAATAGTGATGGAGCCCAACGTTCAGAAGAGGAAAGGGGACACCTCATAAAGAAAGCCCGTGACTAAGCCAGCACTCATAACCGAGAGACTAGAACAGTCCTCAAGGTCCCAGAAAAGGCAATGTCTTGGAAGGAAAGGGAAAGCCACACTGATAGTCACTTGCTGACATTCTTCCGGAGTGCTATCATTGCCCGGAAGTCACTTCTACCATTATCTTTGCCTGAGATAAGTGGAGGAAAGTGTGGGACAGAAAGTAGGGGGAAGAGGGGGAAGGGCGGGGAGAAAGGGGGAGACCGGCCGGAAACCGGTTTGGCTCAGTGGTAGAGCGGCGGTCTGCGGACTGAAAGGTCCCAGGTTCGATTCCGGTCAGGGGCATGTACGTTGGTTGCGGGTATATCCCTGATAGGGGGTGTGCAGGAGGCAGCTGGTCGATGTTTCAATCGACGTTTCTAGCTCTCTATCTCTCTCCCTTCCTCTCTGTAAAAAATCAATAAAATATATTAAATAAAAAAAAAGCAAGAAAAAAAAGCAAGGGGGAGACCGAATGAGATACATGGGGATACTGAAAGACAAAGAGAGGAGAGACTAAGGAAGCTTAATTCTCAGGGCTTCTCACTTGCAAGTGTGCCTGTGTGTGCTGTGAGTTGCTGGGGGGGAGGGGGGTGTATAAAATGTTTTTGGAGGACTGGGAAAACCAGGTCGTAAAGCAAAGCAAAGCATTTTTTATCATTTTCTGGGAAAATATGTAAAGATACATTCCAAGACAGACATCTTTTCTCACTCTAAACATTCAGTTTAATACCTAAGATCTGCCCAAATTGTAAAGGGCAGAGCCCGCACCACTCAACTTAGCTCCTTGGAAATACGAAAGGATTTCTTCTTCCCTGCGCCGCACCCTCCCCTGGTTCCAGCGTGCTCTCAGCGACCCAAATTGAGCGTCTGTCCGTGGAGAACTCCATTTCCCATCCTCCTCTTCGCTCGACACCTACATTTCTCGTCATGCACGACGCCGTCTCCTCCTCAGACCGGTCCCTGCCCCGCCTTCCTGCCGCTCCGTTCTGGACTCTCGGCTTACGTCACGGCCTCCAGCCCTCCCTCTCTCTCACAGCGAACGCGTCCGGGCTTCCACGAGAGGCGTGGCCTCTGAACGACCGTAACGCCCATTGGCTGTCGCGTCGCCGGTGGGACGTGGCTACGGGAGCCGGGCGGGCGCCTTTCGAACCGCGGCTAGGGCGGCGACGGAAGCAACGAAGGATGCATCCAGCTGGCTCCGCTGCGGCGGGGACTCCCCGGCAGCGTAAGTGGCGTACGTGGCCCGCCGAGGTGATGAGGCGGGCGGGGTGTGGCGGGGCCGCCGCGGCGGTTGGCGAGGTCGCTGCAGGTCGGAGGTCAGGAAGTTAGGGATCTGGAGCTTCGAGGTGTGCACCGCACCACGATGCCAGCTCTGGGTAGGGGTGCTTTGGGGTCGGGTTTTTCCCCCCCTTAGGATATTACTTTGGGTAGGATGTTGTATGTTGAACAGAAAAGCCCGACTTTTATTGATTTTGCAGTAAGCAGTCACCCTTACCCCTTCGTAGCCACGGGCTGTCGCCCATGCCCTCGGTGAGCGAAAAGGGCCATGGTTATCCCTTACTTAGATTTGAACCTGTGTTTATTTGGCTATTAACCTCTTTTTTTCCTCCACCTTTGTGAATTTGTATGTCTAATCTCCGTGAATGTGCGTGCATCTCACCTAGTCATTCAACACATCCTGCAGCAGCTCCCCTGTGCCCAGCCCTTTGCTGGAATGTGGGTACCTGGTAGTGACCAGCATAACACCGCCCATTGTTAACTCTTGTTTGTTACTGAGTTTGATGGGAAGACAGTCACTAAACTCAGAAACAATCAAGGCAGCCAGATAATTTGGAGACTAATTAGAGCTGTAAAGGGAAGATGTGACTAGGCGTTGAGGGGGCCTCTCTGTTGAGGGAGACAGTGTGATGTGCTCATTCCTCCCTTCAACCATCAATAAGGTGCCTGGCTGATCCTGTGATAGGTGATGCTGGAAATACAGCGGTGCCCAACAGGTTCCTGTCCTCATGAAGCTACCAGTACAGAGCAGAAGACAGCAGCAGGCTTGAGTGATGGACATTTTGATGAAAGAAGCAGCACAAGCAGATGGGTTAGAGCCAGGGAGAGGGAAGCACAATCAGAGTGATTGATTATGGCTGGGATGGAGGTGTTATGGTTGCCCAGATTAGGCATGTGACCCAGTCTGGGGGTGTCAGAAGCTTCCTGGACAGGCGTCTTCAAACTACGGCCCGCGGGCCACATGCGGCCCGCAGAGAAGTCCGATCCGGCCCGCCAGGTTTTTTGGGCAGTGAGCGCAGCCGAGGTGTTACAGTAGGAATTAGTAGTTCATATAGTCCGGCCCTCCAGCTCTCTGAGGGACCGTGATCTGGCCCTCACTTTAAAAAGTTTGAGGACCCCTGTTCCTGGAAGAGGTACAGCTCATTAGCCCAGAGAAGGGGATTTGTAGTGAGGGAAAAGCATTTGTGGCCTGTGCTGAGTAAACAAGGAGACAAATGAATTGTGGTAAGTGCTCAGAAGGGAAAGGAGAATCACTGGATATGATGAGAAAGAACAAGGTGGGGCTAGTGTTTACATTGAGGAATGAGAAAGGTCTTTGAGAAGGAAACATTTGAGCTGAGGCCTGAGTGCAACATTGGCAGTTGTCATTGGTGGGAAGGTGTTCCAAGGTGATGGATGTTCAAAAGCCTGTGGGGGGCCCTGGCCGGTGTGGCTTGGTTGAGGATTGTTCCAGGCACCCAGAGGTCACTGGTTCAATTCCTAGGCAGGGTGTGTACTCGGATCCCCAGTATGGAGCTTGCAGGAGACAGCCGATGGATGTTTCTCGTATCAATGTTTCTTTCTTTCCCTCACCTTAATCAAGAAAAAAATATATATTTTAAAAAGCTTGTGGGGGCTAGGAGCTTGGCAAGGTCATGGTCTGAGAGGAAGCCATTGTGGCTGAGATGCAGTGAGCCCCAAGGTAGTAAAAGAGGGTCGTTAGCAACGCTGGGTCCCGCGGGACCTCATGGGCATTAGGATTTTATTCTAAACACAGTGGGCCTTGATCTTAGGCAGAAGACAGAAAAGTTCTCTTTTTCACTTAAAAAGATGTCTCTGGCCGAGACCGGTTTGGCTCAGTGGATAGAGCGTCAGCCTGTGGACTGAAGGGTCCCAGGTTCGATTCCGGTCAAGGGCATGTACTTTGGTTGCGGGCACATCCCCCAGTGGGGGTTGTGCAGGAGGCAGCTGATCGATGATTCTCATCGATGCTTCTAATTCTCTATCCCTCTCCCTTCCTCTCTGTTAAAAATCAATAAAATATATTAAAAAAAAAAAAAAAAAAAAGATGTCTCTGGCTGCCCACCGGAGAGAAGGCTGGTGCAGCTAAGAACGGACAGGAGGACCTGAGGGGAGGTCATTTAAGTCAGGTGCAAGACATAGTCTGAGAGGGGAGGGTAACATTGAGACATAGTGGGCAAGAATTAGCGATTCATTGGTTGGATGCCAGACGAAGGGGAATCAGGGTTTGGAGACTGATGTTAGGGCTCAGGGGCAATCAGAGGCAATTGCCAAGAAGCCAGTGGCCTACCTGGGTCTGGCTACAGGAGAGAAGTGATGGCCAGAGACAGAGCTCAGAGCCTAAAACTGTGAAAGTTGTGAGTGTGGGTGAAATTGCCCTAGATGAGGGTGGAGAATTGGGTCACACATTCCAGGGAGCTGGAAATAAGTCACTAATTGAGAGACATTGGGAGACCATCAGCTCCATGAAGGCAGAAGTTTTTGTCCTTTTGATCATTACTACCTGCATCAGAGCTTAACACAGGGGGTGCTAAGTAGGTATTTGTGGGCCTCAGACAGAAAAGAGAAAAAGACAGGCACAGTATCTCAGAAGCCAAGAGTTGGAGGCTGGCAGTTGGGGCAGTGCACCTAGTGCTGTGAGGACTTGAGTTGGATGAGAGCAGAATGATGGACTGGACCTGGTGGTGCAGAGAGCCTTTAGAGGCCAGTGGGAGCAGGACCCCAAATGCCACTGGCTGAGGGGGTGACAAGGAGGGAGGACAGGTTCACACCAAAGCTTTCAGGAAGTGACCTTCAGGCCATAACAGAGAGAGGAAAAAGAGAAGTGGAGCTCGCTGCGATCTTTGGGACTGAGGACACCTGGGTCAGTTTTCCAGCTACAAATAATTGCAATGAAGAGCGGAGGGGCTTGTAATTGACAATAGGTGCCAGGCCAAGGGCTGAGGAGTCTATGAGTGTCACTTCGCTGTGGACTATTAACTCATTCTACAGAGGAGAGAATCGAGGCACAGAGAAAGTCATGATGCAGATGACTTGCCTTCTACCCCATCTATTGTAATCCTACCACCCTGGTTCCTGTGCCCACAAAGATGCTCAATGAATATTGGCTGCCACAGCATTGCTTTGCTTAGGAGTAGGGGCCTTGGAGCCAGAATGCTGGGTTCAAATTGGTCATCTTGATATTCCTATCTCCTTTTTCTTACCCCACCCCAATTAAGCACACCTCCAGCAAGTCCTGGCCCTCCCACCTGCCTCCAAAATCTGTACAGAAGCAGCCCATTCCCCTCCCCTCATCTCCACTCTCCATCCTGGTCTCCCATCTGGGACGTCAATAAATTCCTCCTTCCTTTCCTGTAACTATCGCCAACATGAAGCCAAGTTTAAAAACTTGAACCCTGGCTCTGCCTCATATTATCTGTATGATTCTGGGAGGGGTCTTGAGCCTCTTTGGGGCTTGCTTTTCCCATCTGTAAAATGGGGGTGCTAATAGCATCAATACAAATAAGTTGTTGTGAGGATTAAATGAGTTAATCCATAGTGTTTAAAACATGGCCTGATATGTGGTTAGTGCTCAGTTGGGGTTGAATTATTGTAATATTTATTGGGCAACCTGGATTGGACTCCTGCTCTTTCCTCACTCTGTTTGGCCCTTTACACAAGTAATTTAGCTTGTCCAGGCCTCGGGTTCCATATCTGTAAAATCGAGATAGCTGATTTATTTAGTAGGTTTTTGTCAAGTGCTGTGTACAGGAATCAGACATGAACAAGACAAAGATTCCCACTTTGAGGGACTCACGCTTTTGTGGACAGACAGGGCAAAAAGGAAGTAAAACATTTAGTATCCCAGCTGGTGCCGAGTTCTGTGGATATACATGAAGCAGGGAAGGGGGAATGCCATCTACGGAGGCGCAGTTGTGTACAGGATAAGGGGGGAAGGTCCCATTGAGCCAAGAGTTCAAGGAGAGCAGTGAGCCATGAGGACATCTGGGTAAAGAACATTCATGCAGAGGAACAGCCAGTGCAGCAGCCCTGAGCTGTGAGTATCCCTGGTCTGCTCCCTGAAAGCCATGTGGCTGGAGCTGAATGAGTGAGGGGGAAACATGAAGAGGGATACGGACAGGGAACTTGTTTGTAAAAAGCTTAGTACAGCATTCTGTGCATAGTAGCTAGCAACATCATCATCCTTGTTAGTTGGATGGATGAATGGATGGCAGGCAGAGCAGGGTGGGAGGGGGTGCGCCCACAGAATGAATGAGGTATCTGCCTCTCTCCTGCTGCAGCCTCAAAGCGGAGGATCCCTGTGTCCCATCTGGGCATGGCTGACCCCCACCAGCTTTTTGATGACACAAGTTCGGCTCAGAGCCAGGGCTATGGAGCCCAGCGGGGACCCAGCGGCCTGGGCTACCCTACAGCTTCTGCCTCGCCCCAGGCAGCCTTCCTAGCTGATCCTGTGTCCAACATGGCCATGGCCTATGGGAGCAGCCTAGCCGCACAGGGCAAGGAGCTGGTGGATAAGAATGTGAGTAGGGGGAAGGCTGGTGGGAGTAAGGGGGAGGCTGGGGCCATGAGGCTAGGGCTTCAGGAATAGCTCTGCCTCTCCAGATCGACCGCTTCATCCCTGTCACCAAGCTCAAGTATTACTTCGCCGTGGACACCCTGTACGTGGGCAAAAAGCTGGGCCTGCTCTTCTTCCCCTACCTGCACCAGGTCAGAGCACCCCTACCGAAGTGACCATCCACGCTCAGAGGGAAAGAGCCTCTGGGAAGCGGGCAGTGGATGGGGTTGAGTCAGAGTCTGGGGCCTGCATGAGGGTCAGGGTGGGTGATTCGCCTTAGAGGGGGCCTGTAAACAAGGTAGAGGAGCCCAGCTTTGGGGTTCTGTCTGCTCCCTCACTGTCCCCACAGGACTGGGAGGTGCAGTACCAGCAGGACACCCCAGTGGCCCCCCGCTTTGATGTCAACGCTCCGGACCTCTACATTCCAGGTTTTACCCTATCCACCACTGCTCTGCATCCTCCTCCCCCTGGGTGGGCATATGTATGGCAGAGGTTTAGGTACCTGGAGGCCCAGATGGTCCTTCCTCTGACATGTGTCTGTGTGTCTGCTTCCCATAGCTATGGCTTTTATCACCTACGTCTTGGTGGCTGGCCTGGCACTGGGAACCCAGGATAGGTAAGAGAGAACTCAAGTGGGTAGGGTGGCATGGGCTTTGGAGGGCTGAGGGCAGTTGGGATAGTCTCTTGGTTCCCTTTCTCAGAATAGTCCCACTGTGCCCTGTAGGTGTCACCCTCTCTGCGCAGGGTGATTCTCTAAATCCATCCTTCTTCGCCTCCACCACTAGATCTCCTCCTCTCACACTCCTAACCAGCTGCCCTGACCCCACACTCCCCTGTACCCTGATTCTAGCAGCAGCCAGGAAAGTCTTGTCTGAGAGGCAGGCCTGACCACGTCCCAGCCTGCTCAGAAGCTGTCTATACTCCCCAGACCCCAGACTAAGCCCCAGCTTCTTAGCCCTGCACTGCCCTTCACGAGGCCCTTTTCTGCCCCACCTCGCTCTGCTGTGCCACTCTGGTCCTCTTTCCATCCTCCACTAGGTCTAGTACTGCCATCCCAGAGCCTTTGCACATCTAGTTTCCTTTGTTCAGGAGCATGTTCCTCCCCTACATCATCACCTGCTGAGCATCTGCTCACTCAGGGTGTCTCCACTCCAATGTCACTTCCTTAAGGAAGTCTTCCCACAATCCCAGGCTGGGTCAAGCCTCCACATAGGCCCCTGTTCCATTTCCTTTGTGGCACTGAAAATAATTATCATTTGAATCCTTACTCCTTCAGGCCTCAGGCAGGTGTCCCCACTGGGTCAGGCACTTCCCTTGCCCTGTGCTTTCCCAGTTGCATCCCTGACATGTCTAGGGTGTCACTGAGGACAGATCTGCCTTTCCTAAAGTGGGACTTTCATGAGGACCGGGCCCAGATCCACCTTAGTCACTGCCTGGTCTCCAGCCCCACCCAACACAGGCTGTCCCAAGTGGATGTGTAGGGAGGGTTTGAGGAGGCCAATCAAATGACAGCTTGGGTGCCCGCAGGTTCTCCCCAGACCTTCTAGGGTTACAGGCCAGCTCGGCGTTGGCCTGGCTGACACTGGAGGTGCTGGCCATCCTGCTCAGCCTCTACTTGATCACTGTCAACACTGACCTCACCACTATCGACCTGGTTGCCTTCTTGGGCTACAAATATGTTGGGTGAGTACTAACATCTCCTCTCCACAAACAACCCCAGCCCTGGGCCTCTTCCTCAGACCAGCCTTCCCCTCTTTCTCCCAGGATGATTGGTGGGATCCTCATGGGCCTGCTCTTTGGAAAGATTGGCTACTACCTGGTGCTGGGCTGGTGCTGCATGTCGATCTTTGTGTTCATGGTAAGTTGGGTCTCAAGGGAGCATGAAGTTAAAGACTCAGGTCCCTTGAGCAAATTGGGTTCCCCTGAAGACATCTAAACAGAGGATGTTAGGTGGAGAGTTTAGACCAGAGCTACATTGCTGAACTGAGGAGCCCTGGAGTGGGTGCCACAGCTTGGGGTTCAGGAGGGCCTCCTGGAAGAGGGGGTGTCCAAGCTAGGGCCTAAAGGAAGAGAGGATCCAGTTGGACCGCTAGGGTGGGCGGGTGCTCATCCTTACAGCACTCCTTACATGGTGGACTTTCCTGCCAGGATTTTCTTTAAGATGAAAAAGTTTCAGCACCCCTGAAGTAGCTAGTTTGAGGGCTCTTTGTGGGGGTGCTGTATAAGCTAGGCCTGAGTTTGATCCCAAGCTTAGCTGGATCCTGGGAAGATCACCTTCTCCTTTTCAATCTGTTTCCTCTTTTGTAAAATCGGGATAACTGCACCTCAGGATACTTGGAGGACTTGGTGAGAGAAGCAGAGGGCACAAATGGGTAACTTGTGGACCATGTCTAATCATCAGATAAACTTTGACTTAGATGTTGTTATTTACAAGATTTTAAAAAAAGGCATTCTGGTTTGTATTAAAAATCTGGCCAGCATAAGCAATGACAGCAACCAGAGCCACGCCTGGCCACCCGGTTCAGACAGGGTAATCACAGTGCAGTTCCTCCCTCACTCACTTAGCGGACTGGCCTGGGTTTGAACCCTAACATTTTCTCAAAGCCTTGGGAAGAGCATCTACTAGATTTGGGGGAAGCCAAGGAGCCCCAGAAGTGGAGATGAGCACAGCTGCCCCTGTGGAGGGAGGGAGAGAAGGCAGAGGGGCAGGGACTGAAAGTGTCCAGGCGCTCCCACTGGCGGGAAGGGCTAAAAAGGGTAACCTCTACCGGCCCCAGATCCGGACGCTGCGGCTGAAGATCCTGGCGGAGGCTGCGGCTGAGGGAGTCCCCGTGCGCGGAGCGCGGAACCAGCTGCGCATGTACCTGACCATGGCTGTGGCGGCAGCGCAGCCTCTGCTCATGTACTGGCTCACCTTCCACCTGGTGAGGTGAGGGCGGTGCGCCGCCTAATTGCTGCTCCAGGCGCCTCATCTCCCGACCACCTGCCGCCTCATCTCCCGACCACCTGCCGGCTCATCTCCTGGCTCATCTCTGGGCCACCTGCCAGCTCCATCTTTGCCTGGCCCCCCAGCCTGAGATGCTCTGCCCCGCTCCCACCCCAGTTGGAGATCCCCTGGGGCACTAGCTGCCCCTCAGCAGGCAGCCTCTGTTCTGGAAACAATAAACCTTGGTGAGCCCAGCTTGGGTAGCCTCTCCTTGGTGGCTGTGCAGTTGCCCACAGGGGGCAGGACAAGCCCGCTGGAGAAGTGGGGACAGTCGGCAGTTCACAGTGGTCTGCAACCTGGAGGCCACCTGAGACCTGGAGGTTTAATGAGCCTAGCCCAGGCTCGTCAGTGGGAAGCCTTCTTCCCCTTTTTCAACTTGGGCTTCTTGACCTTGACTGGGGTGCTTCTGAGAATCTGCAGGGTGGGGCTGTGGGAATAGGAGAGGGAGAGGCGCCAATTGGGAGGGACAAGTCCTTTACCTTCACCTCCATGTCTGAGCTGCTGTGAGAACTTGAGGAGCTGCTAGGGCCATGGTCGTGCTAGCGGAAAGCATAACAGTGAGGTCAAGGGCCCCGCAAGTTGAAAGCCTGCGCTTGAGACTCGGGTCAAAAGCACCCAGTTCCACCATGCACTCCCTTCCCCTGTTGAGGTGATTAACCCTTCGGTTAGCTGCCCCTGCTTCTGACAGGCCCTGAACTTTGGGGAAGCTGTGTTTGGGGGTCACTCACCTGGCCTGCCCTGTAAACTTCTTCAAGGTGGACTCCAGGGCTTCTGAGAGAAGTTGGCTGGATTGGAATAGGGAATGTCTCCTGCACACTCCCAGGAACATGGGTCCAACTCTGTGGTGAGAGGTGTGTCCAAAGTGTGTGTGTGTGTGTGTGCAGGGGGAGGAGCTGTGGGACATGCCCTAGAAAGGAATGCTGAGGAGTCCCTCCAGACTTTGAGTCAGAGTCCTCAGTTCTGCCTCAGCCCCTCCCCAGCACCGCCCAGCTTTTCCTCTGTGTGTAATGTGGAGGTGGACAGTTAAGAAAAACCCCCACTCACCTCCAGCCTTGGCAAGTGAGGTGGGGCTGTGTGGATGGGAGTTGGGGTGGGTAGTTGCAGATTTCCGGGGACTAGAGCTGTCATCAGCTTCCCCCAAAAGGGGAAATGTGCGGGAGGGTGGCTCCCCGGGACCAGAATGCCGTGAGAACACTATCACTCCTTGTTTGCTTACTGTGTGCCAGGCGCTGTTCCAAGGGCTTCGTGCAGTATTACTTTAGCAGCCCCTCTGTGGCTTGATGCCAAGCAGTCTAAAAGGGTGAAGAGTGTGAACTGGGGACCAGCCTGCTGAATTTGAAGCCCAGCTATACCATTTAGTAGTGGGTGTTCTAACGACAGTTGCTTTGCTGCCCTGGGTCTCAAGTTCCTCATCTGTCAATGACAGTTACCATATGGGGTAAAGGTAAGAATCAGATGGATTAGTTTCCTAGACCTGTGCCTGGCACAGAGGAAGTGTTTTTTCATATATATACAATATATATTAAATTGATTTCAGAGAGGAAGGGAGGGAGATAGAAACATCAACGATTGGCTGCCTCCTGCACATCTCACATGGGATCCAGTCCACAACCTGGGCATGTGCCCTGATTGGGAGCCGAACCATGACTTCCAGGTTCATAGGTCAATGCTCAACAGCTGAGCCACACCAGCCGGGCCAGAGGAAGTGCTTATGAAATCATGCTTTGGCTTTTTAAAAATAAATAGTAGATATTATTACTGTTCCTGTTTTACAGATGAGAAAACTGGGGGATCAAACAGTTAAGGAAGATGACAAGGGGCAAATGCAGCAATGAACAGCCTAGAGCTGGGGCTCACACAGTGTGGATCAAATCTGAGCACCTGAAGGGCACTTAGGGGAAGGGGCAGCTGGCAGAACCCAGTCTTCCCTCCCCACACTGGACTGGGCCACCTGTTCCCTTCACTGTCAGGCTAAGTTGTCTACATTTCTCTCCAACCCAACCTTGCCAACAGCTGGGCAGCCTGTTTCTAAAGCAGGTGGCTGGGCCTGGGGCCTGGGGATGACGAATGTGCAGCAGTCAGCTTTGTGCACTCAGGTCTCTGCTCCAAAGTCCATTCCTTAAGAGCCTGCTGGCTCCACAGAGTCCCGTCATTTTATCTCTCCACTGCTTGATGGCCAGCACAGCCCTTGCTGTTATCTTTAAGTTATCTTGATTCTCACTCATCCCAGCAGCATATATTTAGTGAGTACCTACAATGTGTCCAGCACAGTGCAAGTGCTGGGGGTACAAAGGTGAACAAAATGTCCAGCCTCCTGGAATTGATATTCTGTGTGGGGAAACAAGGTAAAAATGTCTAGTATTTTAGAAGAAAAAAAACAAACAAAAAAACTGGAAAATTGACCAATGGTTGGTGAATGGATAGGGAAAATGACATATCTCTACAACAAAAAGGATGAACTGGCACATGCCTGCTACATCACGGGAGAAAGGGGCCAGGCACAGAGATTACCTGTTGGATAGCATTCATATGATGTGCTCACAGAAGGCAATTAGAATGGATTAGTGGTTGCTGAGAGCTAAGTGGGAATGGATTTTAACTGTAAATGGGCAGGAGGGATCTTGGAGTGGAGGGGCGAAAATGTTCTAAAATGGATTTAGGAAGACAGTTGAACCACTTAGTAAAGTTATTAAATATCACTAAGTTTACATTTGAAAGGGGTGAGTTTTATGTAATTTATACCCCAATAAAATCGATTAAAAATAATATGTGCTACCGAAACTGGTTTGGCTCCATGGATAGAGCGTCATCCTGTGAACTGAAAGGTCCCAGGTTCGATTCTGGTCAAAAGCATGTACTGTGGTTGTGGGCATATCCCTAGTAGGGGGTGTACAAGAGGCAGCTGATCGATTATTCTTTCTCATCGATGTTTCTAACTCTCTATCCCTCTTCCTTCCTCTCTGTAAAAAATAAATAAAATACATTAAAAAATAATATGTGCTAAGAAGAGAAATGCAGCAAAAAAGGGGACTAGGTAATAACTATATGGCATGTTGGGGAGGGGTTGGATTTTAGGTGAAGATACCAAGGAAAACATCATTAATTTAAAAAAAAATTTTTTTTTAAATTAAAAAAAAATCAATATATTTTATTGATTCTTTACAGAGAGGAAGAGAGACGGATAGACAGTTAGAAACATCAATGAGAGAGAATCATTGATCAGCTGCCTCTTGCACACCCCCCACTGGGGATGTGCCTGCAACCAAGGAACATGCCCTTGACCAGAATCAAACCTGGGACCCTTCAGTCCGCAGGCCGAGGCTCTATCCACTGAGCCAAACCGGTTTCGGCAATTAAAGTAATTTTTAAGTAAAGATCTGACAATGAGAAGCAAGCCATGCAAGGATCTAGAGGTACTATCAAGTGTAAAGGCTCTCAGAATGGCAGTGAGAAGGGAGGGAAAGAAAATGGGGAGGAATGGGGGACGATGTCTTGTAAATCAAAGATCTTTGTTCTTTACTCTGAATGAGAAGAAATTATTGTGAAATGATTGTGGTTTTCCCCACAACTGGATGCAGGATACGAAAGTGGCTGTCTCTCCACGCAGGTCATAAGTTCCAGCAGTGTGGGGACCTTGTCTACTTTATTCAACCCAAGAACAGCATGGCTCAGAGTTGGTGCTTGTTCCTTGGTGAATGAGTGAGGTTATCTGATGCCAGGCACTATGCTAATAATAATGGCAGGTTAGAGCAAGCAGAGTGGCCATGAATTAGGTTCCAGAGGTCAATTTGCTTACAGGTAAACCCTCACTTTACTGCCCTGTGGACAAAGAAGTCAACCATTCTGGGCCTCAGTTTCTTCCTCTGTAAAGCGGAAAACTTACCTGATAAGGTTTTTCACAGAGCCTACCTGGAACAAGGTAAGTAGATGCTCATTAAATGTCACATTTTATTATCCACAAACATAATTTCGTGATTCCTCATAAAACTGCCAATAGGATCCTCATGTTAGATATAAGGTAGTTGAGCCTCAAAAGGTACAATTCCATGCCCAACGACACTGGGCTAGAAGGTTGTGGGTAGCAGTATGAACAGTCTTCCAAATGCAACACGCAGTAGCACTCTGCTGCGCTAAAATTGCAGAGGGTGAATGGGTCTGGGGAGACCACTGCCTGGTCCTCTAATTACTCTTGTATTATAGATAGGACGTGGCAGCTTTTGCAGAGACCCAAAGACAAGAGGTTGAACAACATAGCTTATTCTTCTCTACCACAAAGCCTGAGCTGATGGGAATCGAGTGGGTGAGTGGGTATGGGACGCTCCTTCTGTCTGGTTCCACATCCCTCCAGGGTGTTGCCTTGGACAGGTTGGCCCCCACCAACGTTTCTTCTGGAAGGGAAGGGGCAAATGGAGGGTACAGTACTTCCTTTTAAGTTATCTACCTGGAGGCAGCACACACCCCTTCGGCCAAGACACAGACACATGGTTACTGCAGGGAAGACGGAGATAAAGTTTCTAGCTGGGGAGCCACGTAGCCCCTAAAACCTGGGGACTATTACTGAAAGGAAGAAGAGGAAAATAGATACAGGAGTCTGTCTCACTAGTGGCAGGAGTGACCCTTACTGCCCTGCTCTGCCTGACCCAGAAGGTTTACAAATGGAGGCCAGAGCAATGCTGGGAAGGCAGACGCAAATGCTTGGATGGGAAACAGGTGCGAAGTCCTAAGAGCATGTTCATCTTTCTGCTCTTTGGAAAATATTAGTTCCCTGGCATTTAGTTCTGAGACAGTAGCTTAGTTCTGTCCTATCCAGTCCCTGCCTGGCCCCGGCATCTAATGGCAACGGAGGCTGTAACTACTCAGTGGCACTGCCCATGTGGTTTAACCAAACCAGTGTAGTGTTCCAAGTCAAGTTTAACAAACCCTGAACTGCTGTGCCCTGGGCCCTGGGCCCTAGTTTAACAAACCCTGAACTGCTGTGCCCTATGCCCCTGCTTGTTTTATTATTTTTAACCTACTTAAGGGTATAAGTAATGCCTTCTCCTTTGTGGGAAAAGGGACGTGTGTTCCAACTTATCTGCAATATTGATGTTATTCTCTCCCAATTTTTTTATTTTTTTAAATATATTTTATTGATTTTCTAGAGAGGAAGGGAAAGAGGGATAGAGAGCTGGAAACATCGATGAGAGAGAAACAT